CACATCTTTCATTCATGGTTTTGGTGCTAGGAACCCAAATCCTTACATGTGCCAGAAAAACACTCTATCTCTGAGCTACATCCTCAGCTCATGACATTTTAGCATACAACTAATGAGAGCGTTTTTCAATCATCAGGTGAAAAGGAAAATCAAGTGAAATACATATCATGAATTATTTTCTCTCAGTAGATTACAACAACTGACTTACAGAACTAAGCTACCCAAAGGAAGAGGACATTTATTCTTGTACACAATAGTAAAGTTAAAGAAGCTATTTAAAGGTAAAGCACCAAGCCATGAATTTGAGGAAAAAACTCAATGAAGGAACAGAATTTAGGGGGCTGTGTTCCAGCTATATCTGACCTTCACTAACTTAGTCACTATGTTTTAATGAAAAAGAGTGGCAATCTCAACAATTAATAAAGACTACAGATGTTGGGATGGTCTTCTGTGAGCATTATGGTTCTATGCACCATAAAGCTGGTTTTGATGTTAAAAATCAGCCTCAGAAGTTCATGAGCAAAAAAACTAACCATTTATTTTTATTTGGAAAAGGGTTTTCCTCATGTGTTTTTAAAAAATGTTTTATAAAATACTGACATTTTAAATAAAATGACATCATTGTCAAAAGTTACTTTTAAGAACCACAAATATCTAGATATAAGAAATTTGAGAACACAAATCAAAACAACACTGAGATTCTGCTTTACTCCAGAAAGAATGGTTATCTTAAAGGACTCTGAAAACAACAAATTCTGGAAAAGTTGGAGAGAAAAAAGAACACATCTAAGTTGTTGGTGGGAATGTAAACAAGTACAGCTACTATTAGGATTCCTCAAGAAACTAAAAAAAGAAATTTCACCTCATCCAGTTATACTTTTTTTGAGGGGGGTATCTTCCTAAAAGAGCTAAAGACACCACACTCATGTTTATAACAGCACAATTCATAATAGCAAAATCTTTTTTTTTTTTTTAAAGGATGGTAACTGCAAGAATTAATTGAACTCAACTTAAAGCACTTTACATATGACTGATTTAATCCTAGCCAATGCCTTTTGGAATATATATATATATATATATATATATATATTTTCTTATATATATTATATTATATATATATTATATATTATATATTATATATATATAATAGATAGATATAGAGATAGAGATATAGGTATGCTGAGCAGTAAATAATACCTACCTCATGTGGGTTGTGAGGATCTAATAAATGACTCCTTCAATCAAAAGTATCTATAAGTATTTACTGTATGATGAGGACATAGCAGTGAAGAAAGCATTCTATTCTAGCACAGTGCTTAAAACACAGTAGGTAACAGATTTTAGCTGCCATTATCTTGGAACGGTCAGATACAGCACACAGAGTGGGACTCTGTGCAATCTAAATGCATACATGTATTAGAGGATTCTATGTATACTTAATTGTTGGTCAAGAGGAGAAAATCTACAGCATATTCAGAAATGGAATTGTTTTCATGCTTCAGATTCATGTCCATTGAAAGGTATTAATGATACAAGTGGACTTCAGTAGGCCCTGGACCATATTTCATCCTTTTCCTTGTAAAACCCTGGAGTTTATTTTATTTTAAATTTCTTTATTTTGTTTTAATTATTTTTTTAATGAGCAGAATATATTTATTGGAAGAAAGAAAGCTCCTATCCGACAGAGGGACAGGAGGGGGGAACAAGTGGGTGATCCCCAAGAAAACCCTGGAATTTCAACCAAATATATTTAATACAAGTAGCTAACCATTGAGATTTTCAAGCAGTTTTCAGAAAAGAACCTTTGATTGAAACAAGGATTTGACTATAATTTATCATTTTTCATTAAAAATTCTCTGCATACAGATTTGGTCCTCTGACAAAACAGGCCCATACTGTAGCTATAGGAACATATAAAGTGAAAATTACTTTATCTCCTTAATTTATAAAAGATTAGAGCACTGATAATGATTCAGGGTTTTAGAAGTCCTTGGTCAGTGAGCCGAAAGTCTACTAAAAAATTCAAAGTCAAAGAAATAGACAATGACAAAGAAACATAGGGGGTAGTTCTGTTAGATGATATGGCCCCCAAATAAGTCAAAAGAATCTATATAAAGAGGGAGGAGTTATAGTTTGGAAGCAGCCATGGCAAATGCCAAGATGGCATGACACATATCAACACTAATGGCAATTTGATATATTGGTACAAAGTTTTTAGAAGGGCAATCTGAAAATATTTATTCAGACATAAATGACGTATTTTTAAATTTCATTATTTCACAAACTGACCTATCATAACATTGACAGGGCTGGAGAGATAGCTCAGTGGCATAAGCACATATCTCGCAAGTGCAAGGTTCCAAGTCTGATCCCTGGCATCACAAAAAAAAAGCAGATTGATATATAAACACACATACAAATATGAAAGATATGTACTATGGCACAGCTTATGTTTTAAAAATGAGTTAAAACCTAAATATAAATTTACTAGTAGAATTGCATTCAATAATTGATGTGTTATGTATATGTGAAACATATTTCAAACACTTATGTTCTACCTTGCTTTAATCTAAATTCATTCAAACAGAGAATCGTATTATTATTTTTTTTTTTAGCAGAAGACTATTTGTATACTTCAATATAAACAAAATTAGAAAAATGTTGGTGCTTTTCTATCATGTTTTTGTGAAGTATACATTAAAAGGAAGATCATGGAGTACTACTCAGCTATAAAGAAGAACAAACTCAAAGCCTTTATAGGTAAGTGGATATAACTAGAGGTGATACTCATAAGTGAAATACACCAGACCCACATGTGTAAATATCGTATTGTTTCCCTAGCGTAAGAACCTGAAAGAATAAAACCTGAAAGGTATAATAGATATAGTAAAATGGAAAGAAACTGAATTTAAGGATTAAACAATGAAGATGAGAGAAAGGAGAAAAGATGGGAAAAAAGGAAGGAGGGAAAACACACAATTATATATACAGGAAGGCTGAGATGACCATACTTACAATTTCCATCAGTTTTTTTCAAAATAGCAATTAATGTTTAGAATTTTCAACTTGAGTTAATAACTCTGTATGCTGATATCTGCAATCTGGTAACTACATCGAGGATAACAATGTGTAATACAAAATACAAAGTTGAATACCTTTCATCTTGGTCTTCTAAATGTGTACCGTTTCTAATATCTTATCAATTAGTACACTCTCTTTAAAATAAGACAGAAAAAGACAAGGAAAAAAATTAAAATTTCCTGAAAGCAAGTATCAATATTCAGTTATTTCCCCAATCTTACATAACTGTATCTGTTAATCTGATCAACAGATTTGATGATAAAAACGAGACAATATAACCATTGTTAATTAGCTAATCCTGTTTTTGAAAATCTATAACATGTATTATTGTATGTTATCCTGTTTCTGTCTTTTTTTCTAATTGCTTTTGCTCTTCAAAATTAAATTAAATTTAAAAAAAGCAGACAAGAAGATAGAAAGTTAAGGTTTCTTGAAAGCAAGCACCAATAATTATTTGTCCAATCTTGCATAACTATTTGTTAATTTGAGCAACAGATATGATGATAAAAATAGATAATATAACAACCATTGTTAATCACCTATTTTTGTTTTGAAAATCTCTAACATATGTACTTCTATATGTTGTCGTATTTCTGTCTTTGTTTCTACTATTTGTTTTTGCTTTTGTTTTTACTCTTCAAAATCAAATATGATAAAATAAAATCAGAAAAAAAGGAAGATCATTACAAAATTTTTGATGGATAAGTAATGCTTGAAAAGAGAGTTAATCCTTTCATAAATATTCCTTACCCCAATTAGGATTGGCACCTAGGTATGAGTATGAAAAATGACTTTGAACTGATTAGCTGTTAATACAAAACAAACATATGTTACTATGTAGTAAGGGATGCAATTAAGAGCTAAAATGACAGACCCTTAATGAGATATTCATTAAGACTTGGGGGTAAAGTGAAAGTGAAAAACTATTCCTCATCAGAAGCTGTATCTACTTGGTTTAACAGCCCTCTGGTCTCTGAAACTGTCACTAGAATTGTCTTACTCAGCCCATACACATTTATAATAATCTCCAACAAAACATTCTTAATGTGCTGCAACTGGAATGTCTTCTAAATTAGTTTTGCTTCTTAAATCTAAAAAGAAACAGTGCTAATAAGATAAGCATATCTGAAGTATGAGATCATTTATTTTTCTTACCTAAGATTCTAACAGCTGCAAAACTATTATCATCAATAAGGCAATATCAAATCAGGCTTTATATGGACTCTTACATATAACTGCTAAGTGTGCATATACTGTCATATAAACATGCATAAATATGTACATGGATTTTACATGTTATTACATACCTCTTTAGTATCAGCCTTTATTTGCCAAGGAAATCAAATAAAGGGGCTTACATGGGCTTTAAGTACTTTTTTGTTTGGCAGAACCAGGGATTGAACTCAGGCCCTCACTGAGCTATTTCCCCAGCCCCTAAAGTATTTGTTGATGCTGCCTCTTGGTTAACTATTTCATAGAATTCTCATTCTGAGATTTATTTTCTTTTTCTTTTTTTTTGTATTTTAGGGAAGGGTCTACAGGGTTTTACTACTAGATCAGACTCATAGTGATCCGCCTATTTACAGCCTCCCAAGAGCTGAAATTAGAGGCATGCGCCACCACACCCAATCTCAACTGCTGTCTCAGTGCACCCTGGGGGCGGGGCCTGCACGGCAGGCCCAGGGATCAAACCCCGGCTCCTGTGCCTGCTTGTAGGCACTTTAATCTGCTGAGCTATTTGGCTGGCCCCCATTCTGAGATTTAAAGCAGCACTGCTTCATATGTTCAGTAGCCAAAGGGATATGACTATCATTTTATACAATGCAGAGCAAACATCCTTTTAGGTAGGCAGACTAATACCTACCAAGTGAAAAAATGCCCCCAAAGCCTAACAAATTGGTTATATGTAGGATACTCACATCAGCATAGTGGCCTATCATATCACATCGGTCACATCGTTTTCTCCAGGAAGATCTTTCAAGACATTTGTGAGTGGAAGACATTGGCAAAGAACAGTCTAAGCAAAAGCGTGCTGGACAAGCATACTGGAGATGTCCTCTCTCTGAGCAGAGGCAGCAGGCACGAACTTTCTATGTGGCAGACAAACAAAATCTCTTTAGCAAAATACTTTAGTCTCAAATGGTGAAAAATTAATACTCCTTTTTCTATATAATTCCATAAAATGTCATACTAATTTGAGAATCCAATGAAGGTAAAACATTGAAAATAATTGTAAAATCAAACAAATTGTTCAAACTTGTAGCTTTAAGATTAGTTTTATAAACAACATGCACGATCAATGGAGATTCATATATCTCATTTTACAAGAATATTCACAGAACAGAAGATATCTATTTTGGATGTGAGGATATCTGAACCTAAATCATAGGGGCAACAGATACCAGAAAGGAGGAAAGAATAAATAATAGGAGAAATGTATGCTTTTAGAGTTTAATATGTATAGGGAATAACTAAGAAAGCTTTAGCTCTGTGTTGCTCCAATTGTATTAAAATTTAGAAATGACTAAAATTATGTCTCTACACAATGAAATAAACCATCTCATAAAAAGCTGGTTTAAGAGGCAAAAAGGATCTCTGGAATCATCTTATGCAATCTTATTTCACAGAAAAGAAAAAGAAACAGATGATTTGCCCAAGGTCACACACTAATAATGAGGCTAAAATTAATTACATTCTAATGCTAAATATATTGATTTTCCCCTCACATAGGGAAATTTAACATATATTTATAAAATACTCGAATTTAAGGTTATGGGGTTCTAAACCTAAGATTTTGATTTTAACAATGTGAAAAGAAGTATGATGGGTTTCACGTACTTGTGGCAAGGGGCAATTTTTTGACAAGTGACCACACTTATCACAATTTCTACAGGTAACGTTTTTGTTGGCTGAATAGTATCGACGGGTCCATCGTCCAGATGATCTGTTATTACCTATCTGGGCCTAAAGGAGGAGGAAAATAAAGAATTAAAAAAAAAAAAACCAACTCTTTCACTCTGATTAATGCAAATTATTTATTCTTTTTTTAAAAAAGATAATTATATGAGTAAAGAAACATTAAATTTCAAGTCAGTTGCACTGCTTTGATAAGGCAAGAGAATTACGGCTCATAACACTTCAAACCCTGCAATAAAGAACTTCATGAACTCTCATTCTCTTAAAAAGAGGTAGAAAGACATAAAAGAGGGAGACATAAAGACAGCTCTAATCATTTATGTCTGCTCCTTCTTTCATACTTGTCCACACACCTCTTTTTCTCTCAGCTTATGACTCAGGTCTAGCAGGGGTATTAATGTAGATCATTTATCTAGATATTATGGTGGCATTTAAAGCGAAAAATCATTGCTGATTTCCACACAAAATTGTACATCATATAATTCTAAATGAGAAACCTGTTTTAATTTTCAGTTAGGGAATAGTGTTTTTATGACTTGTCTTTTATACAGTAACAGAACCACAGAGTTACCAAATACATCTCTTCTTTTGAACAGCAGAGATATACAGTCACTGTTTACCAGATAGGATTATGATTTCCAGAGGGCCTGAGATACTTTCCTTCCACCAGAATCCTTTAAAAATTCATTCTGCTACACAAAGATGAAATTTTAGCTGTCTTATATTCTAGTCAACTTGTAATACATCCAAGAGAATATTAGCAATACCTATCACATGGATTACCTAGTTTCATCTTTTCTTCTTAACTAGCTAAGTAAACTAGTTACCTCCAATCTAGTTATTTCTTAAAACTTCTATCAAGTTGTAAATTATCCTTTCTTATAACATCTGCCACCTTCTAAATATAGTCTAACCATTTCCTTACACTGAAGAAGCAGTTATTTCCGGTGATGATCTTTAGTGGTACCAGGCCATATGGGCTACCATGGTCATGATCAGAGAAAGGAAAAGGGAACTAAGTCATTATGACTATTAATGGGCTGACAAATATTAAGGCTGAAATCAAGCTTTCAACTATAAGTCATGTAGATCATTGCAATTTTTAAAAAAGTTTGACTTACAAGTTATAAGTGAAATAACAGCAAAGTATATATCAAAAGAAAACATAAACCTATTAAAAATTTCAAAAACCATTTGATTTTACCTCAACATCTTTGTCACTGATGAACCAGTTTACATCATCCTCTCCTATAAAATAAAACAAATGTTATTAAACTTCAGCACCTCTAAAGCACTTATAGATTGATAATAGATTCAGTTTGTTAGTACTCAAATTGGACCTAACTATAGTAAGAAATGCTAAATAAATTAATTTAGCTCCCATGTCAATTGTGTGGCTCTTAATAAATACTTAACCTCTCTCTAAGCTTCATTTTTCTTACCTGTGAAACAGGAATAATAATATTTGCTTGCTCTACATAAAAAGTCCTATGAATTAAAGGAGATATGTGAAAATGATATGAAAACCATCAAACCATATAACAATATGTTAAAAATAGTGAAGGGGGCAAAAGCCTAATAGAAGATAAACTCTTTTCTGAACTTCCTTATTTGACCAAGCAGAGTTTTACTAACAGGCTGGTATCCCAATACTCCCACTCCCTATAGGAAGTCTAAGCGTGAAGGTGATAGGGTGACTGTGGGCCCTGGGAAAATCCCAAAGCCTCAGTGAAGTCTTTTTTCCTTTGACTCTCTACATTCCTCCTTTTTGTTGTCTGTCTAAAATCCTTCACTTTCTATCTTTCTCTAAACTCTTCAATGAGTTAACTCATTACTGAGCACTTCTATAAGTGTAAACCTCATCAGTTCATCTGTCTACTGTCAGCAAACTTACAAGTTCCAATTCAGACATAAGTTGAAGTTCCCCCCCACCCCAACATGGAGATTAATTGTGTCTACTAGCTTTCCATGCCAGGTGACTTTCATTATAACTTTAAAAAATGAAACAAAAAATGCTGAGCTATGCTGAGGTATGGTGCTACATACTTGCACTGCAACAAACAAATCTGCCCCCCCCAAAAAAAACCGAACAGAAAAACACAAACATAACCAAAAAAGTGAAATAAAGGGTAAGAGTGGAGGCCAAATATCCAGAAATGATGATTATTAATCTAAAATTGTAATTGTAAAACCCAGAGGAGAAAAAAAGTCCTAGATTTTTCTTTTGTATTAACAGTTTTCTTTCCACTGTACTTTTACAAAGCTGTTATTTCTTCAGCTCTCCCCACGGCCAAGAAGGAAAGACCTAAGACTATTGTAGAAGCTAAGGTGTCAACAAAGGATTATTTTTTTGGCGGAACCAGGGATTGAAATCAGGCCCTTGTGCTTGCCAGGCAAGCACTTATTCTACTGAGCTATCTCCCCAGCCCCCGAAAGATATTCTTTCACTCAAAGCAAGTTATGATTTTTCTCCTTTTTGTTACTTTACTACTTTCTTTCATCTCAAAAACACAAATCAAGCCTGAATCATTTCTTTGAAGGAATTTTAAGAAATGTGACATAATCTACATTTTCCTAGGCCCACCAAGAGTGTTTAGAAATATACTTAAAATATTTTTATTAACAAAACTAGGGGATCACTTTACAAAATAAGACCAATCCATTGGGAAGTGGAGAAGCTGTGCTAATGATTATTTTCTTTGTATAATTTGAAGGCTGTATCCATGTAATGAGAGTGGAGAATACATTAAATAGTAGTAGTTTCTATTTCTTCATCATTATCATCTATATTATTATTCTTTCATTCAAAAAAAATGCAGGAAAGGTGCATGCCTTCCTGTAAGTGTCAAAGTTGCCTTTTTTTGTTTTTAATCTCAATGTCCGCCATTAAAACTGAAAATAACTATTTGAAATTACTTTAGTTATAAAACTGACTTAATGCTGTTTTTTAAAAAGGGAAATACAAAATCAATAAAATACCAAATAGCAAATATGACCACTCCTGAGCCCTCAATAAATTTACACATGAACAGACAACTGTGAAAAGGAATTTGGATACATTTTGATTGTTTTAACATTTTAGGTTATATACTAACAACTCCTCACCAAGTTATAGTATATTTTTACTGCACAAAATTCATCAATATACAAAACAGGTTCTAATTATAGATAAACGCAAAAGTAGGAACACAGAAGCCCAATCTCAACCTTTCCCCTAGGTGCCAATCTTAGTAGTAATAGCTTACTATAGCCCTATTTTTTTTTTTTTTTCTTATCTTTTCTACAAGTCAAAACTTCAGATTTCAATCTAACAAAACCTGTTTAGGGCAACTCATTAGAAATTCCAAAGGTAGTAAACGCTCCATTTTGCTAAATTCTGGATATAGAACTTGATAACAATATACTGCTTATCCCAACTCTACTTCTACAATTTCTGTGATGTGGTATTGGGCAGACTACTTAACCTCTCTTGGGCTAGGTCATAGTGAGAGGTAAAAGGGCATCATAGGCTGGGGAGACAGCTCAGTGGCATAAGCATCTGCATGGTAAGTGCAAGGTCCTGAGTTTGATCCCCAGTACGACACAACACAACACAACACAACACAACAAAACAAGCATAAACTTTTAGAGCTGTTTCTAATTTTGTTCTACTGCTAGATTGAAATACACTGCCAGTTCAGTCCTTTGCAACCAGTATATAGTGCCTTACCTTAAATATAATTTTCTACAGGAATACTCATCTTCCATGTGTCTACCATCTAATGCTATGGAAAGTAAAACATGATTCCCTAAAGTTTATAATTGTAACTGCCCAAGGATGTATATTATCAATTATTAGCTGTTTTATAGATTGGTCTTTTCTTTCTGCAGTACTGGGGATTGAACCCAGGGCCACATACATGCTAGACAAATAACTCTATCACTGGGCTATATGTCTCACCCTTTTTATTTTTTTAACTTTTGAGACAGGGTCATCCTAAATTGCCCAGTCTGGTTTTGAATTTGAAATCTTCCTTGTCTCAGCCTCTGGAGTAGCTGGGATTATAAGTATGTGACACTATGCATGGCTAGTTTGGGTCTTGGGGATATCTAGGATTATGACTCCTTCATAGTAATTCATTTAACAAATATCTATTAAAAGATTATAACCAACACTGTTCTAGAGGGTAAACAAAGAATAAGTAAGAGTTTACAGCCTAGTACAGCGGTGGCAAATCTATGGGATGTATCTGTAGTGGGCAGGCAGAGCCCTTTCTGTCAGTACTTGAGCCAAGTCACCCCAGCCAATGTCTGACAAGCTATCAGCATGCGTACAACAGCAAAGATCACATCAACTGTGTAAAAGCAAACTAAATGTAAACTTTACCTTTCAATAAAAGGCTGTTTGTATCATTGATAGCTCTGTTACTGTGTTCATTTAAGACAAAAATGTTCATGTAGGAGTTGTTTTTCTACACTAGTCTCAGTATTTAGGTTTAATTGCAGAGTTGGCACTTTGTCATAAATAAGTGGGTTTGAGGTTGCAGTTTTGGCACTTGTCTCACAAAGGTTCATCAGAGTTTGGCCTAGTAGAAGACAAGGTAACGAAAGGAGGAGTAAGAGGAGACCAAACAAATGCTGTGTAAATTTAGAATAACAGATAACATCTAAATTTGAGAGAAAGGAAAGAAAAAAGGTCACAGAGGGTCAAACCATAAAGAAGACTACTGAAGTATAATTTACATATAATAAAATGTACTCATGATGGAAAAAATACAGTAGGATCCATTTTGGCAAGTGTATGCACTGTGTAACCACTCAAAAAATCAAATACAGAACATTTCTATCATCTAAAAATGCTACTTTGTGCACAATTGCAGTCAACTCCTCACTCCTGACAAATACTGAATTACTTTCTGTCAAAAATACCCATTTTGCCTGTTGTAGGACCTCATATAGGTGGAGTCACACGAAATACACAAATATGATCTTTTGTCTGGCCTCTTTCACTGAATATTGTTGAGATTCATCCATGTTGTTGGAAGAAGTAGATGGCTCTTTTACTGCCAAGCAAAATTCCATTGTATAGATACAAAAATTTGTTTAGCTACCCATATTCTAATGAACACTCGGGTTATTTCAAGTTTTAAGCAATTATAAATAAAGCAGCACAATAAATATGGCTAGTAAATATTTTTCTGAAAAACTGACCTCAGTTTCTCATTTCTTGGGAAAACAGAACTACTGGGTATTGTAAACATATTTTTACCTAAAAGAAACTGGCAACCTAATTCCCAAAGTGACTATATCATTTTATATTCCTATCAACAATGTGTAAGGGTTCCAGCAGCTTTACAACCTCACAAATACCTGAAATCATTTAAATATGGTTTAGAATGGACGTGAAAAAATATTAAATTAGGTTTTTAATGGATATTTCTCTGAAGAATAATCACACAGAAATCTTTTCATCAATTTATTTGACTTTCATTTATCTTCTTTCAAAACCAGCTATTGAATTTATTTATTTTTTTTTGTATCTGAGGGAAGGGATTACAGGGTGTTCAGGGTCTCACTACTAGATTGGATTTGTAGTGATCTGACTGTTCACAGCCTTCGAAGTGCTGGGATTACAGATGCGTGCCAGCACGGCAGGCCCAGGGATCAAACCTCCAGCCCCTGCACTTGCTTGCAGGCACTTTAATCTGCTGAGTTATTTGGCTGGGCCTTTTGTTGTCCATTTTTATAATTAGTGTTTTCTCCTTTTATTGGAGGTTTCTTACGAAATTCTAAGAGTTATTTATAAAATCTGTCTTTTGTTAGGCAAAATTTTTTTTTTTTTAAATGTATTTGGTACAGCGTCTACAGGGTCTCACTATGCAGATCAGACTTGTAGTGATTCTCGTTAGCCTTCTAAGCACTAGGAGTACAGCTGCGTGCCACTACAGTTTCAAACCCCTTCTCAGCGTGCCCCCGGGGAGGCGGGGCCAGGTGTTGGACCCTAAGCTAGGGCTTTAGTCCACTGAGTTATCCGGCCAGCCCTATGCAAGTCTTTCATCATGCATGTGATTCACAAATATCTTCTCCCAGTTATGACTTCTACAGGTTACATTTTTGTGCCCAAAGATATTTGTCTATGCAAAGTTATAAATATTTTTATTTTCTTCTAGAAGTTCTATAGTTTTACGTTCTATATCCAGTTTTAGACCTGTAACAAAGCCATAAATGCCTTACATTTTCTAGATTCCTAATTTGTGATACTCAAAATT